AAAATATTTTTAAATAATTTTTTTTTCAAAGTTATTTTGTGTAGATACCTAATCCAACACATTTGATGCAAAATTCCACAAAATTTTATTAAGCTAACATGCCTTGTACTATTAGAGAATCTTGTTTGTAATATCCTAAAGAATATATTTACAAACTTTCATGAGTTTTGGATACTTCATTATCAAAATATAGATGAAAACATTACATGCCACTACTTTCACCAGGAACTGTATCTTTTTAAAAAAATTTTTACTAATAATAACTTTTTTAATAATTATTTCTTAAATTTTATTATATATAAAATTCAATGAAAATTAATGTAAATATATCTTTATAACTACTAAATATATATTTATCAAATCTAGATAATATTTAAAATATCTTTTTTAAAAAAATAATTTTATTTTAGTAAAGTAATGCTTCATTTATTATTGAATTAAAGTATAATAGAATAGTTAAAATAGTATAAAAAGGTAATTTAGATCATTTTTATTTAATATAAAAAAATTATAAAGATTGGTTAAAGTTTAAATGATTTTTATTAGAAGCAATTATTAATTTTTATATTGAGGTACAAATCTTTTTGCACTGACCCATAATATTAATATATATGATTAATAACGATAAAATAAAAAAGGAATTTTTCAAATCACAACGGGATCTTCCATGCCTCTGCCTGATACATTTCGTACCGTAAATCCCCGAAAATAAGCATTTTTTAGGCATGTGACTTGTTTTCGGGAATTTACTCGTCCAGTTTATAAAATCATTTGACAATATGGAAATCGACGGCCACTTCCATTTTGAGAACGGCCCGATTTTAGAGAGACTAGTGAATTAATGTGGCGGCTTAAAAAGATCACATGAATTTCAGCTTCGTCCGCCACAAATAATTGTCCAACTTTGGGTGTCATCTATATTAGAAGAGCCCGTTAACTCGTTAACGCTTGCGTAGAAAAAATTTTATCTATCATTTTTCAAGCACATGTTTAATATTGAAACTGAGTACATGTACATGTATATTCTTTTACCAAGATTTACTATCGGCCATATATGTACAATTAAGATACATAACCAGCATCTTGTCTGACAGAGAACGTGAATAATGTAGCAAGAATTTTTATATCATGTCTGAAGGGAAAGGGTATTTATAAACGCAACATTTAATTAAAAAATGATATTGTATAGACAATTGAAAATGTTATTCAAATATAATATAGAAAGCACCAGTGCTAATTGTTGAAATATTTAGTAGCCACCGCCATAACCACCACCACCACTGTTATCATATCCACCACTTCCGCCATAGCCACCAGAATCGCCATAACCACCACCACCACTGCCACCATAACCGCCACCACCATAGCCACCTCGGCCTCCACCACGACCACCGCGACGGGAAGAACGACCGCCGTAACCGCCGCCGCCGCCGCCACCGCCACCATAGCCGCCACCACCGCTGCTGTAACTGCCACCACCACTATTATAGCTTCCACCAGAGCGAGGTTCACGTTCAGAAGCCAGATTTACTGTTTTAAAAAAGGTGAGTTTTTGATTAAAGGGCTTAAGATTATAATATGAATAAAATGATCAAACAAAATACCTTTGATGGTTCGGCCGTCAAAATTCGCTTCATCCATTTGTTTCATAGCATCTTCAGCTTCATTATTACTAGTAAGAAAAATGAGGAATAAATATAAAATCTTTGCCCAAGAATAATACTGAAAATTCATTACTTTGCATAAGTCACAAAACCGAAACCGCGACTACGGCCTAATATTCAGAAAAATTAATTTTTACAATTATGTTGCTGGTGTAACAAAGAGTAGATGATAACTGTAACATTAATATTTTTTTTTAAAAAAAAAAATTTACCAGTTTCACGATCACGTATAACAACAGCGTCTTCGACAGTTCCATATTCAGCGAACTTTTCGCGAAGAGATTCGTCACTCGTGTTCCAGGACAAACCACCGATGAATAATTTGACAGACATAATTGGTTTTTTTTTTTTTTTATTTATTTAATACTTAATATATGTAATAGAGATCTAGATGAATAAAATAATAATAGATATCGGATCCGTTCGTTCGTCAATAAAGAACAAAGGACAAGAAAGTAAAAGAGAAAGGGCACAAAAAAAGACAAGCGAAAACCTTTATTTTTTAGTTAAAAAAAAAAAAGGTACACTGTCTATATAAGGACGAACGGAAGATAAAGGACTACACACACACAAAAAACACGAAACTGACTGACAGGATTTTATTATATAGAGAGAAATTTTTTTTATTTTTTGAAGTGTAAGGAGAAAAATGGAAATGGGATGATAGTGGTCGTATATATATCGATTGTGAGTAGTGTGGTATAGTGAGTGATTGAGTGATTGATTGATTGATTTGACACTTTAGGAATAGTGTGAGAATATCTTTGTTCTTTTTATTGTTGATTTTATGCACGTTTGGGTTTGGGGTTTAAACTTTATCATTATTATTATTTACTAATACTCCTATTACGTACTATAAAATGACACATCATCATCGAAAATTTATCATTAGGATTTTTCACCTTGAAAAAAATTAATAAAAAAAAATTGACTGACTTGCGTGAAACAGTAAATCTGCACATTATTTTAATGTCTATTTGGTAATGATCAGTGTGAATGCAAAGTACATGTGAAACGCAAACAACCAAAACGTGATTGCGAGAAGAAAATACATGTAACACACCCAATCACGCAAAACAAAACATGCAAGCATTTAATACGATTGTGGTGAATAAAGAATAATATTTTTTATTAACTATCGCTATATACATTGTTTTTCTTTATTATTTGACGGATATATGCTGCGACGATGATAATAAGCTTTTTTTATTATCATTGCTATGGTTCTTGTAAGTATGTGGAAAATTCTTGTACTTTTTCTTCGAATTTTTTCGTTCAGGTGATGTGATACGACTTTTTCAACGCTACGATGTTTCTTTTTCTTGGCGGACTTGGTAGTGGAGTTTTTGTCTTTTTCCCGTTTTTTTGGTTTCTTTTTTCGTCTTAACACGTCCAACTCGGTTAAACCCTAATTCAAATATTCCTAATTAAATTTAACAATAACAAATATTTCAAATATACTATTTATACACTTACCAATGCACCGCGACTAATCCAATCGAGCACTTGATCGATTCTACCAAAATTGACAATGAGATCGGATAGCCATTGACTCAATTGTTCGCTTCGAGTCTGTAGAAAGTCATGGTCGAAGCGTCCTTTATTTGATTACAATAACGATAAAATATTTAATATATACATATCAGGTAACGTGATTACTGTGTGCATAATTAAAAATATAATAATAATACCAAATATTTTTTTTCCAGGCAGAACAGGAAGCTCATTTTGAGGTGTCCCAAACTCTCTAACCAATCGATTCCGAAAATCAACAAAATCATTGTATCTTGCTTTTCCACGCACCGTTATTGATTTATTACTATTTTGAAACCATACCTATTTTATTTCATTTTTTTTTGAATTCATATAAATCAGTATTTGCGCTCTACGTTTCAAGTAAGAACGTCGTCGAGTAAAATAAAAATACCTCAGCTTGAATCCAATACTGTACGAACCGTACATTTCCTAGTATACTTTGTTCGTTTATTATTTCGGGTAGTCCAACCTGTACCTGGTTTTTCGAAAAGCAAAAGCATATAAACATATGTCATGCATAACGATAAATGAGATATGCTGTACAGAGCAATAATCACCGATATTAATTCTCCGTGGTCTCTTATTTTTTGTTTGAATGGCCCGCGAGCGAATAACCCATTATAATCTACATTAGCGTTTTTTACATCTAGCAATTATATACATGTCATGTAAATATTCAATTTAGTTTTTTTTAGTCACTTCAATGCAAATGCAAATAATAAGAGAATACGCCTACTTTTATTATCCTCGTCAACTTTTTCTTGCCAAACACGTAAATACTCGCGCATCATTTCAATAGCCATTCGTTGTTGTCGTTCACACTCTGGTCTTAACACGTATTCTTCAAAAATATACTTTAAATGAGCCTGTGCATCTCGTGTTGCTATATTACTATCATTGTTGTGTAAGTCGTAATTTTCTTTGGCATTCAAAGATATTATGCTAGACATTTTGAGGATTTTTAAATGATATGATGTGTGTGTTTCCCAGCAAAAAAAAAAAATAATACGAAAAACAAAGCTCACCAAGAAAAAAATCCTTAAAACTTGTAGACGTGTTTTATATATTGAAGAAGCACCCTATCAAAAAAGTTACGTGCGTGTATGTAATTATTAATTACAGAAAAAGTATACCTGCATAATAATTAATAACAATAAGTGTTGTGGGAAGGATAATCCCTTCCCCAACAATTTGCATCGCATGATACGTGAGAATAGGAGAATGTCATTGAAAGAATTCTTTTTTATAATTCGAGTGATAGTGAAACAGCGTAGCACACAATTAATTGCCTTTTTTTATTTTCTAGGTCATGATATTACATGTACACGTACTTGTGTATCGGCATTCATTTGTATTTTTTTGGAATTTTGGGAGCGAAGGAAGGGTGATGTTACAATGGAATACCGATACAGTCTTCTAAAATTCCATTATTCGTTGCTCTATCGCTTGCTATTCTTTGATTAAATAAAATTCATATTATCCCATGCTTTTATTCATTCTCATCCCGGGAAGAGGCTGGAATTTGTTTGACAATTAAGTTATTAAAATAAGTTGAATTCCTGTGAATAGTACATGTACATGGGATAAAAGAATCCGAATAATAATTATTAAGATAACTATAATTGCTAATGCTAATTGACACACAGAAAAGGTATGTTGAAATCATCAAAGAGAAAACCAAGTATTTATTTATACTTTTTTCTTTTAAAAAATGATTGATTCATTTAAGTTAAAACACTGCGTGATTCGCTATTTATGCGGTGATTGTTACAACTCTAAACCCAAAAGATAAAAAGACGACATGTAGTCCTGAAAAATTGCAAATTTTCATTGTATTAAATTATTCTGAGAAACTTTATTTTTGTTAAAAAAGATTTCGTATAAAAAATGGTTTTGTTTTTTATAATTAGTGGCGGTGGTTCTGCTAAAAAAAGTTCTTTACTAAGTCGTATATTTTTTATAATGCCACTATGCTTTTTACAATAAACTAATATAAAATTTAAAAAATCATATAAAATGGTTCGTTATATCCAAAATAAATCGTAGAAATCTATATTTTCAAAGTGCAATCTGAAATCTTTTGCGTCTTTTTCTACATTTCGAATTACTCCATTTCCATTGTAATACATGTTTCCACCGTTATACATAGCAGTCGAGTTTCCGGATCTCTCGAAATATATCGCAGCCTCTCTTATTTTTTTCAGCATCTTCCCCTTTCCATAGACAACGACCATAACGAAATTGAACCTCAGGTAAATCTATATCAGCAGTTTCTTTTAAAATATCGTGCAGCTTGCACCATTGCCTTTTTATATTGTTCTTTAGTTCGTTGTTCATTTAAGCAGTATCCGACCCAATATTTTGCGGTGGAATCGCCTAAATTCGCATATTGCAAACTATATCATAAGCTGTTTTACGATCATTATTCTTCGCTTTATGAATATTGATAGTTTTTTGAACAGTTTGAAAAGTTCTGTAAATATATATGAAAGAGTTTTATATATTATTTTTAAGTAAATTTATTTATTAGATTATAAAGAATTTTTAGAAAAATTTTGATAAAAATTAATAAAATTTTCATTGTGCAATAAAGAAAAATATAATTAAAATCAGTTTTTATGAAACTTTTTTATATATAAATATATACAAGACAAACTCGATAAGACGAAGGTCGGGGGGCAGAGACAATTTATTCGGCTTATCGAGATTTTCGTTTTACTAAATTTCGCACAAAGCCGAATTTATATATAATAAAAAATTTGGTAAACCAGAAAAACTTCGGCTTAATGCAATTTCGGCTTAGCGTGGCTTCGTCTTAACGAGTTTTCCTTGTATATAATTTCTCTAAAAAAACTTTTCATATTAATTTTTTTAATCTAAAAAATTAATTTAAAAAAATAATATTAATATTCTTTAATAAGTAAACTTTTTTTATAGGTATTAAAAAATATATATATATATATTAATTTTCATACAAATTTAATTAGTTATTACTGTGTAATTGCTTTTAAATCTGTCCAATTTTTTTCAAATAACTATATAATCATTTTTTTAAAAAATTCATACTTTCAAATCATCAAATCAAAAAATTATTATCTAACATATTTATAATAATTATTATTTTACAGATTACTAAGTCATAATTGCATCATATTACTGAGTTATATCAAGATTACTATATCACATCATCTATCTTTATCAAGAAATTATATGATTGAAATGAGCTATTATAATTATAGTAAGATTTTTTCTTAAAAATTCTATTTAGATTTATTATATATATTTATTAGTTTTATTTTTATTTTAATATTATTATTTATTTATAATTTTTATTTTTATTTATTAATTAATAAATAAGCATTTTTTAGAAGTAATACTAATAAGTAATTATATAATATTAATAATTTATATAATTTTAAATTATTATTTAAAGATATTTTTCTATTCTATATTTTTTTATTAATTATTTTAATATTAATAAAAATAAATTATTAAATTGTAAACTTGAGTTAAAATTATTTACTTTTGATTTATATTTTATATAAATATCTTATTAAACTCTAAGAAGATTATAACTATAATAATAGCAAAAGAAGACTGAAATTCTATTAATAAATTATATATTTTTTAATTTATTTTTATATTAATATATAACATATTTGAAAATAAAATTAGTAGTAAATAATTCTAATAACTAATTATTAATTTTATTACTTAAAAATAGTAGCTTATAATAATAATTAATAATAATACAAAAAATAAAATCAAAAATAATAATACTAATAATATAAATTATAAAGATTAAGAAAATAATAACTAATTAAGAATTTTATTAAAAATTTCTATTTATAAAAAAATTATATAAAAATATTAATATCTGATTATTATAAGTTACAAATATATTTATAATTTAAAAAATTACTAATATATAAATATAAATTTTATATATTAATACTAAATTTAAAATATTATTTTGTATTAATATTTAAATAAAATAAGAATAGCTAGCTTAAATAATAGTATTTTTATTAATTAATAAAAATTTATATTAAAATTTATATTATTTTTTAATTATTAAATTATTAAAAATATTTTTAATATTAATTTTATTAACTTTACAATCAGCATAAAAAATAATGAGAAATATATCTTTTATCTATAACTTAATAAAAAATTACTAAAAATTTGGTATTATATTCTTTAGAGTAACAAAAATAAAAGTTTCTAAAATCACAAAGTATATTAATATAATAATATTTTATTTAATCAATATTAAAAATAATAGATCAGAAAACTATTCTGATTAAAATGCTATAAAAAATTATTTAAAAATATTTTTTATAAGCATAAATTAAAATAAATTTATAAAAATATATTTAAAAAATATTTTTAAAAAATTTAGTTAATATTTATTAAATAAATATCAGTTAAAAAAGCTTAATTTTGATAAATTTCATAATAAAATATAATAAAAATAATATTTTTATTATATATTACTATATTTTATTATATTTTATTATAAAATTTATTAAAATTCAATCTTTTTTGACTGGTATTTAATCAATAGATATTGACTAAAATTTTTTATCTTTAAATATATTTTTATAAAATTATTTTCATACTTATTTATAAAAAATAATTTTTTATAGTATTTCAATCAAAATAACTTACAGTTTACTATCTTTAGCATTTGATTGCACAAAATATTACTATATTAATATATTTTATAATCTTAAAAAATTTTATTTTCATTATTCTAAAGAATATAATACTAAATTTTGTAAATTTTTAATAATTTCTTATTAAATAATAGATAAAAAATATATCTATAATTACTTTTCATACTGATTATATTTTAAACTTATAATAATTTATTATTTTAATTTAAAAATACTTTTTCTATTTTATATTTTTTGTAAGATTATTTTATTAATAATTATAAATAAGATAAAATATGATATAAACAGTTTTAATTTTATAACTTATAATTATTTTTATTATT